GTGAGGAGGCGGAACAGAACCAGGCACCTCCTGGTGGTGGAAGGGAGACAAACAGAAACACAAACACACAGGCAGGAGTCCTGACAGTATGTGGCAACATCCTACTTTAACTGTGGCTTAAAAAAAAAAAACGCTGCAGGATTGTGCCAGCCTGAGTACACTTAATTGAAAATTGTTTACACGCAAACTTACCGCCACACCTCCAATGCCTAGTTAGGTTACATCAAGCAACATGGGGGAGAGCTGAAATGTTTCCTGTGAGGACTCCCCTCTGACAGTTGGAAAGTAGAAGACAGAGAAGAGAAGCAGCTGACGGCTCATCTCCTTTTCAACAGTAAAATCTGCTTCATACATTCAGGTGGAGCTGTGGTGTCTTACTGGCCCTTGTGCTAGCCCCGGTAGCCTTTGTAAACTTCAGAGTTTTTGCCTCTGAAGTTTTTCTTGATCTAGGCTAAAATGTTGTGGGCCGCTGATGATGAGGTGGATGCTGTGCAGTTTTTTTGGGGTTCTTTCGTGAGGATTGGTGGAAAAACCGAACAGGAGTTTGTCGTCCTTTTGTTCTTTTTTGGCTCAAGCTGCCTGGAATGGATTGATCAGTGCTAATATGTAAACTGGATTTACATTTTTTTTTTTTTTTACCTAACTGAATGCAAACGACATTAATTAAGTTATAGAATTTTTATTCTGACATTGTTTAATTGATATTTCTTTTCTTGTATTTTGAAGTCTTGAAAGAAATTTTATTTTGGGTTTTCTACAATAATGTTTAGGGTAATAAGTGCTATTATGTATTTACATTCTTTGTGTGGTTTCTGTATTCCAAAAGTAAAACATCATAGCAAATAAAAATCTCTTATGTCAGGAGAGAGACCTGACTGCCCCCCCTGCCTTTGAACATAGGAAACCGTCAAAGGACTCTCAAATAAGTCTTCCTAACTTCCATATGATCACCTTGATCATGAGCAACTCTTAATACCTGCCCCCAGACTGTTCCAGGACCAAAGCCAACTGGACCACTTGCGCACTAATAACCCATCCTGAAAACATAGCCCTGCACCAAATTTCCAGTGGGCAATGATTGGTCAACAGTCTATGCTGCAATCCAACCATCCTTACTCACTGCATCAGGTAACAGAGGCAATGAAATGCACTCCGCTACAATGTTCTGTGTCCCCTGTTCCACATCACATGCCATTTTAGCTTGAGCCCATTACTGCACAAATTGGAAAAATGTCACTCTTCTCAGCCAGGCTGGAATTGACCGACCCACACTGTACTTCCACAGATGTAATTTCCCATAATCATCTGAACCCCATCAATTGGCTAAGCAGGCCTCACCTCAAACTAAAACACACCCAACGACATGTCACAAGTTAAAAACAATGTATGCCAAGGGACCGGAACATACCCCATCTCCATACCATGCATGAAAATTAATTCAGCAGCCTGTGACTCTGAAAAAAAAGGTAACCCAGACTCCACAATAAATCAATGTTTAGTGACAGTATCACGCAGCACCTTAATCTCCACATTGTATGTCACGACACTGTCAAATTAACAAATATAATAAACGGCTCAAATACAGAACAATGTCTTTCCACTACAGGCTGGTTTGGTGCCTCAATGCATAACAAGGCCGGAGATGTGCAAATTTTACTGTGCAAAGAAAACTTATCTTTTCAGTGGCCAATACCGCTCTGTCCACTCTCTTCCTTGGAAAGGCATGTGCATCCCAGCTGCATCATTTCAGGATCCGACGTTTGAGCCAGGTCAGGAACCCACACAGGAGCAAAGGGAGTGGGGCAAGGAGCAGGGAAAGCTGATGCTAGCGCTCTTCGTTCTCCATGACATTCTGTGAGGTAAAGAGCTATCCAGTTGGCCAGGTTCTCCAGCTGAGTCCGGGGGTAATCGCAGGTTGAAAGTTCATTCTTTATCCTTTTGTGAAGGCCAAAAAAGAAAACATCCATGAGGATCGTGAACGTCCTCATTCCAGGTACTTTCAGAGGATAACAGGTGGGAGTCAGTGAGCTTTAGTACTAGAAAGGACTGGGCAAAGAACTCAGATTAGTTCCTGAGAAAGGTAATCGTATGAATTACCCAGGCGAGGATTGTTTTGCTGCTCTGATGTTCCTCACAACATAGCCTTGGCCGCTAACTGAAAAATTACATAAGCCACTTTAGCTCTTTCAGAGGGAAATGCATTAGAAGGAAATTTCACACTGACTCAAGAAGGTCCAAAAACAGTATACAGGAATAATCATACTGAAACAGGGGTAAATGGCTGCATAACAGGCAGCATAAACAGTAGCAGGAAACAGGTGGATCAGATAAGCGCTAATGAGGAACCGGGCAAAAATTTGACCAGTGAATAGAATGATTAATAAAGCCAGCGACCAGCACCAAAATCATGAGTCCATGTTACAGCCAAATTATTCTGTGATGACTCAGAACAGAGGGACCCAGTATTCAAGGCAAGACAGACAGTGGGGTAACTCAACTCAAAAAGCATTTATTTAAATAAACAGGATCTCTAGTATCAGCTGCTAGGGCGTCTAAGGCAGGAACCACGATAATCTGACGGACGGAGGATGATTATGAACGCATGAGTCACTAACCTGGTTTTACTGTTCAGTGCATGCCCAGAGAACGAGGTTGATTACAGCTGGTTGGCTGCCAAGACACAGCTGACGCTCCCAGACAATTCCAATTGCTGAAGGTTAGCAGGCTGTAGAACTGGCAGAAGATCAGATCCAAGCTAAACAAAGGAAAACAAGATAATCCAGAGGGCAAAGTCAAGAGCCAGATCCAGGTTAAGTCCACGATAGAATCCAACAGGAGTCTGAAGATCGGTCAGGCAAATGTATCAGAGAGGCTCAAAGGTCCAAGTAGAGAAACGGGTCAGGATCAGTCAATCAGAACACTATAAGAAACGCTAGAAAACTCTAACACAAAGGGCTCAACAATAATCCGGTGGAGATGACTGGGAGCAAGCAGCTTAAATAAAAGCAGGAGCAGGTTGATCAGATGAGCAGTAATGAGAAACTGGGCAGCAGCGCCAAGGTTATGACAGATAGCTTTCGTTAACTTGGATCTGTTTGTCCAATTTGGTGTCTGGCTGGAGTACAATGACTTAAAATAGCTGCCTGTAACATGTTTTAGATTAAGAATATTATAAGGTGGATCTTGAAAATATGATAATGGTAACCATTGGCCAAAACTATTCTTTATCAAAGTAGAAAAAAAAAAGGACTCCAGCAACAAAACAGCGCTTTCCAGATGGAAACACCGGTGTTACGTCGAGCTGCGTTTCCCCATCAGATACTGTTTCCCCAGCACAGCGTAGGCGGCACGATTCACCGCGCAAGCGACAGGAAACACGCATGCTCGCTAAAGGCGAATAACAGCTGCCCTGTGCTTACGCCACAGAGGAACTACAGCGAGCGTGAAGGATGTTAGCCCCTGTATGGAGAAAGGGAGAAATTGGGATGGATGGATGGATGGATAGATAGATACAGTAGATAGATACAGTAGATAGATACAGTAGATAGATACAGTAGATAGATAGATAGATAGATAGATAGATAGATAGATAGATAGATAGATAGATAGATAGATAGATGTTGCAGTATCTATAAAAACCCAAACACACAGGATTTCAGAATTAGACATCCCCAGTTATTAATTGCATACACTCACCAGATCTGAACACCCTGTTAGAAAACTTCACACCCATGAGTAGAGGTAATGCAGCCTCATCAGACCGCATCAGATACTATTATTGAACGCTATCTGACGGGGTTTATAGACCCGTCAGATTGCGTTCCCCCTGATGTCCTTTACATTGAGATGCAATAAATGCAAAACTCTCTGCAGGTACTTGTCTTTGTCGTCCGCTCTATTCAGCTGGCTTTTGAAACACACGGCGAGAAGGTGGGGGCCGGGTGGTGAGGGTTGGGGGGGCGAGAAATGCAAAAGTAACGCAATAGTTTCTTTTACTAGTAACTAGTTACTTTTTTTGTGGAGTAACTCAGTTACTTTTGGGAGAAGTAACTAGTAACTATAACTACTTACTTTTTCAAAGTAACGTGCCCAACACTGATTATAACCTTGGAAAGAAGGGGTTAATTGTAATATGAGCTGGCTGACCTGTCAGTCATGGTGGTGGATGTTAAAAGAAAGGTTCCATGTTTGTATAGCTTACAGACTTTGCAAAACTATTCAGTTTCATATACATAATTTTCCTACAGGTACTAATAGAAACTAGGTTTGCATGTACAAGAGGATCAACAATTAGCCTTTTATCAAACAGAAAGCATTTTCACAGACTGGTTATATCTGGCTATATTACAACAGTACCTTCTACTGCAGTCCTCAGAGCAGCAGCATTATGGAAAAGATCATGTTGAGACTCTTGTTTCTTTTAGGTAAGTGACTTAATGTTTACATCTGGTGACATTGAAACCTTTTTAGCAAGCAACAGAATGATTAAATTCAAGAATCTTAAATCTATCTTCCAGACTGGGTGATCCTCTCTACCTGCATCCTCCCTCAGTACTATTTTGTTAATCAGTTATTGACTTGGAATGAAGCTCAGACCTACTGCAGACAGAAGCACACAGACCTGGCCACCATTCTAAACTCTGAGCAACAGAACCAACTTATCAACACTCTTACATCTGATGAACACAGCTCTGACGTCTGGATTGGTCTGTTTAGTGAAATCGACTGGAAATGGTCTGATGGTTACAATGGGAGTGGAGCTGACTACAGAAACTGGAGACCAGATCAACCATTTTTAAGTTACCCTTACGGTGTATGCGTAGCAAATGGTAAGGGGTACTACACAGAGGGATGGTTTTTTTCTTCCTGCACAAGCCATCGTGAAGTTATGTGTTATAAAGGTAAAAATATCAATCATAACAATTTTTACAAGCATTATTAGACATGTTATCTCTGCTCAACATCATCCTACAATGTCGCCACTTACAGTCTCACGCTTGGGTCCTGAATTTGTTTATGTGCATACACTGATGAATTGGTACAGTGCTCAGAACTACTGCAGGAAGAACTTTGTTGACCTGGCCACCATAAAAAATAACAGAGACAACAAGCAAGTGCAGGGACTGATACCTACATATAAATATCCATGGATTGGCCTATATATAGAGCCAAATCATCACTGGTCTGATGGAAGCAGCGTCCTTTTTACCAGCTGGGATACCACTGGTATTCTGATCGGCTCCAGGGCAGTTATATGTGGTTCTACATCTACTGGGAGATCAGGAAGATGGAAAATGTTATCCTGTGAAACAAGATTACCCTTTGTCTGTTATGGTCCTCCTGGTGAGTTTGCCCTCAAATTAAAAAGAGAAAATAAGAAGCTACATTACATAAGAATAAAGCATGTCTTAATGACCCATATCTTTTTATTCTAAGTTGCTATTTAAAACTGTTTTTATTTATATATCTTAAGATATAAATCCTTATGGTTAATTGTCATTACACTTAAGTCTCTTATCAATTATGTTATACTCTCTTCTTATTCCACCTCATGTTCTGATTCCTGCATCACTGATGGAAAGGGTGGTCTCCAACTGTAATAATTTTCAATTCAAATTCATTAGAATTCTCCAACATACATTAACTCAGTCAAGATTATAATGGTAATGTAATGGTCAACTGTAAAGGCAGCCCTGAGCCACTCTAACTATAAGCTTTATAAAAAAACTATAAGTAAAAGATCTGCCTCCCATTCTACTTTTAGAAATTCTAGGAGCCACTATTAAACCTGCAGATTGAGAGCAAAGTGCTCTTAATTCAAGGTATAAGAAAATGTTTTTATAATGATACATGTCTTCTTTTTAATTAGTTGTAAAACAGGTGGTGAGGCTCAGACTTCATGCAAAGGACTCTGTGGATCTGAATGACCCTGTTCTAAGAGGACACATCCTGATGACGGCAAGTTTGAAAATAAAACTCTTTTAGTGCTATATTAATAATTAAATCTGATCTCAGATTAAAGCTTCTATATTTTCTACGTCTTCCAATTTTATCCTACAGCTGCAAGACAAACTGCAGGAGAACGGAGTGAGTGGAGTTACCCTGAAGTGGAGAGTGCATTCTGATGGGAAAGTCTTCAAAAAGGAGAAGAAAGAATTATAAACCAAGAAATATGAAACCTGATTTCTTTGTTTTAAGTTGATGGCTAATTTTTATGATTCAGTAGTATAGTAACTGATAATAACCTGTTTGCTGCCAGGGCAAATAACTTATTGTAATGATGGGAAAAATTTCTAAATGATCTGAACTCAATATTTTCTTCATCTGCAGGTTTGAGCGCCTTTAATTTTTTGGTGGTGGTTTAGACTCTGTTATATATGTATAATAGTATAAATTGTAAGAATTTGCAGAATTTTTTTGTCATGATCCACAGGTGATTGTGTTTTGGTTTTCTTCTCTGTTTGTTTTTTGATGATTCTGGGTTGTGTATAATTTTCATGAAGTCTTGCTGTTTTCCCTTTTTTCATATACAGTAGTAGTCTTTTTGTCACGGTCTTGGTTTTGTTAAATTTTCTTTTGAGTATTCAGTTTTACTTTGCTCCATGTTTTCTAGTTTTATGGGTTTAATTCCTATTGTGTTGTCGTGTTGTGTTTTCTGGATATATCTAATTTATTATGTTTTTCTTTGTTGCCCTCTGTTGTCGGTCTCCTTTTTCCTAGCTCCTTTCTAGAAGCCTCTGTTCACACTTGCTCCCAATCAGCTCGTTAGTCCTGCCTTTGTTCAGTCTCCCATATAAACTATCTCTGTGCATTTCCTGAGAGCTGGTTCCTGGTCTTTCCCCGGCTCCTCGTGCTTGTTTTCACCTGATGTCTCGTTTTCTATTGTAATTAAAGACTCAGATCATTTCTATCACTAGAAGTTTTTTATTTTAGGTCCTATTTAGTTATATGTATTAAGTTATACTTGTGATCAGCTGTTTCACTCTATATTAACACTACTCACTGTTTAAGAAATAAAGTATAATTTTCCACAGTAAGCTCAGTCTACATCTGCATCAAATGTTTCTTAGAGCAGATTAATGATAATACAACATTATGTAAATAATAAAGCAAGCTTTAATAAAGATGAACTATTGCCAGTATTCCTTGTGTCTTATCGTCACATATGCACCAAAAAGATTATTTCTGCTCAAATTTGGAAATTTGCTAAAAGATGATCATCTTTGAATACAGCTCCCCATGATCACCAAGCCAACCAATCTGTTGACCTCCATGAAAACAACAATAGAGCAACAGTTTAGGCAACTCAGAAATCATAATTTCCAAAGCTGCAAAGTCTTAATGAAAAAGCAAGATGTAAAATGTAATGCTTTAATGAATAAAAATTGAAAGAATATTATAAACGTCTATTTCAATTAAAGTCGTAGGGAAACGGCTGTTCCAGCCATTGCATTTCCGAATTCTTCTGAGTGATGACCGACTTTACATGAGTAAATAAAGTTAGTGTAATTAGTCGTTTATCAAGAGGTCGGGGTTGTTGTGGCGGAATGTTCCCAAGCAAGTTTGCTTGTGACCGGTGTCTCTTAAGCATCATGCTAGTAGGTTCCCAATGGGAAATTACATTGGGACCAAGTAGCACTTAGAAACCAAATGGAGACATGGAAGAGGAAGAGATTTTTGTGTCAGAGGTCGTGGATGAGTCTTCTGTCACGCTTTTTTTCATTTAGACGAGGAAAGCGGGGACAAAGTCTTTGTGGAAGAGGACGCCAGGGTGGCAGAAGCTTAATTTGGTGTAGAAGGCTTACAGCCATACATGTTTAAGCCCTTGCCTCGCAACGCTGCCAGTTCTGTTAGCTCTATGCCTGCCGAAGACACAGACCTCCATCCCTGTAAACACTGGGACGGAACTCAATGGGAAAGGAAATTATTCTTAGTTCTTATTTCAACCATTGCGTATATTAGCTGCGACATATGAATCAAGATGCTATGACTGAAAAAATTTGATTGACACATGACTGTTGATATATGATTGGCCGAATTTAAGTGTACAAACTGATGTCTAATTAACTGGCCTGCATAAGATAAAGAAAAGAAAAAACAGATTTTAAGACAGGATTTGTTTTTTAAAACAGAAATTTTCTAAATTTGGGGACAATATGGTCTGATAAATAGTACATTTATATACTTGTTTAAGCAAAAATGACATATACATGACATATAAATATGATTTCCCTATGACTTTAAGCCTTTGTAGTTTGACTTTTTTGGGATGGCTAGCTGTGATGTGTTTAAACAACCAACCAGTCAGAGATGGATCAGAAAATATGGCTTAAATAGATACACTGAAAGAATAACAAGATGACTGGCTTTTAGCCACCAGTTTAACTAGTTTATGCAATTCTCGATGACTAACCCCCCCGATATTCTCATTTATGGAATATCGGGTAGAATCTTTAGGCTACCAAAAGTGTACCCCAATCACCCAAAAAAAGAGTGATTAAAAAAATCCTGAAACACAAAACCATGTGCACGCATACAAGCAATCATGTGACCTTTATAGATCAAAGCTGTGCATCAAAGTTTGTGTCCAAGGCTCCTCTTCGCCCACTTCACGCCCACATTGAACCAGAAATAGTCCATGCAAAGCACCACATGAATGGCATTGTGTACTTAAATAGCATGAAAAAGTTATGTCACAGCAGTTCAGCATAACCATAGGCATATCCTGTGTGCTTCCAGGACAGGGCTGATATAATCAGTCGAAGAGCTAAAGTTATGCAAGATTAAGTTAGTTTGGTTAGGAGTCTCTTAGGATTCTTGTGTAGGCTTACTTTTAAAATGGTCAATAACAACAAACAAAGAGTTGACCTATGACCTGTACTGAAGGATCATGTCTGGCATGCCAATAATTATGTGATGAAATAATTTACACAAATTGGCACGAAAAGTATATCACATTTGAAATGACAGCTTATCAGATTATGGGGGGAAAATGCTATACTAGGCCTATATTATGTGATTTAGGTAAGGATATGAATCATTTGAAATATCAATACAGTATTGAAAAAGTACAGCAATAGATGAGAGAAGCCTACTAGGCAGAAGGGGTGCCAGAGCAAAGGGAGGGCTGGGTGTCTGCGCTGGATGTAGGATGATGAAACAGTCCTTCTAGGCCTCATTTAATAAATTCATAAATTATAGAACTTAACAACACCTACTAAAAACATATTTCATTTCATTATTAGTGTATTATCATTGTTAATTATTGGATTTCCATGTCATTGTAATCATAAGGTTATTATTATTATTATTACTTAGTATGATTAAAGATTGCACAGTCATAATGAGTATGATGATCTATAGTTACAGCTTTTTTCGGTTGTGATCTACAAAAGAGTAAAGTTATTATCAGGTATTATTGATAAGCAATATATTTTTGTTTTATTTTTTATGATGTCTTGTCAAGATTTTTGTTTTTATTATTACAAAGAATAGTATATTTAAGATGTATCTGATAGGGTTTTGGACCTGATAGTTATGCCTAAATTTCTTCCCAAAATATGTTTTAACTCTATGCCAATTGTGTCCATTTTTTTTTATATTAATATTTATTTTTAAATATATTAACAACAAACCTCGTGAGAGCATTTACCACTTTTTCTACATTGTTTTTTTTATCTTACCCTCATGTACTAACTTTCACAACAGAATTTCCAGTCTTGTTGATCCCAACACATCACTTCCATTTTGATTTAAAAAAGCTTTGACTCCTTTCCTATGTTGTGACCTATCTTAGATATTTGCATACATAAATATGCAGTTGCTTACATACCCAAACATCAGCTTTGCAGCAAAGGATGGCCAATTTTCTAGGGAAGATTAAGATGCCCTAACCATTCTGGCTTTAATTCAAGGGCGTCAGTAGTGAGTAAGGGCTAATTTTTTGCAAGTAAGAGGGAACATCGAAAATTACTTTAAGTCTTATAGCTGGTTTAACAATGATATACACCCACCGGCCACTTTATTAGGTACACCTTTCCAACTGCTCGTTAACACTTAATTTCTAAGCAGCCAATCACAACTCAGTGCATTTAGGCATGTAGACATGGTCAAGACAATCTCCTGCAGTTCAAACCGAGCATCAGTATGGGGAAGAAAGGTGATTTGAGTGACTTGGAACATGGCATGATTGTTGGTCCCAGAAGGGTTGGTCTGAGTATTTCAAAAACTGCTGATCTACTGGGATTTTCACGCACAACCATCTCTAGGGTTTACAGAGAATGGTCCCAAAAAAGAAAAAACATCCAGTGAGCAGCAGTTCTGTGGGCAGAAATGCCTTGTTGATGCCAGAGGTCAGAGGAGAATGGCCAGACTGGTTCGAGCTGATAGAAGGGCAACAGTGACTCAAATAACCACCCGTTACAACCAAGGTGGGCAGAAGAGCATCTCTGAACGCACAGTACGTCGAAATTTGAGGCAGATGGGCTACAGCAGCAGAAGACCACACCGGGTGCAACTCCTTTCAGCTAAGAACAGGAAACTGAGGCTACCATTTGCACAAGCTCATCGAAATTGGACAATAGAAGATTGGAAAAACGTTGCCTGGTCTGATGAGTCTCTATTTCTGCTGTGACATTCGGATGGTAGGGTCAGAATTTGGCGTCTACAACATGAAAGCATGGATCCATCCTGCCTTGTATCAACGGTTCAGGCTGGTGGTGGTGGTGTCATGGTGTGGACAATATTTTCTTGGCACTCTTTGGGCCCCTTGGTAGCAATTGAGCATCGTTGCAACGCCACAGCCTACCTGAGTATTGTTGCTGACCATGTCCATCCCTTTATGACCACAATGTACCCAACTTCTGATGGCTACTTTCAGCAGGATAATGCGCTGGAATCATCTCAGACTGGTTTCTTGAACATGACAATGAGTTCACTGTACTCAAATGGCCTCCAGAGTAACCAGATCTCAATCCAATAGAGCATCTTTGGGATGTGGTAGAACGGGAGATTCGCATCATGGATGTGCAGCCGACAAATCTGCGGCAACTGTGTGATGCCATCATGTCAATATGGACCAAACTCTCTGAGGAATGCTTACAGCATCTTGTTGAATCTATGCCACGAAGAATTGAGGCAGTTCTGAAGGCAAAAGGGGGTCCAAACCATTACTAGCATGGGGTACCTAATAAAGTGACTGGTGAGTGTAC